CTACTTTTATTTTAATTTCATTTTACTGCAGATTATTGTTGTCTGTACGTTATATGTTGTCTGTCTAAAACAGGTCTCGCTTGTAATGAATGAATAAGTCCCAGCTCGCTGTGGACGCAACATAAATGATAAAACCCAAAAGTTTGTTTAAAAAAATACAAAAAACTGACAATTTTTACTGTCCACATACAAAATAATAAACAAACCCCAGCAATAACGTCTGTTCTTCACACAAAGGAACAGAAAACAACAATATTAACTTCATGTTTGAAAAATATACAGGTATAATATACCAGTAGTTGGAAAATGCCACTCCAGTGAAACGCACTTCGAATATGACATTGTGGGAAAAAAAATGCCTCCCCTCATTTCGCATGGAAATGCTAGATTTTTGTGCTTCTTACTTGGTCCACCTCCTCAACTCATTTTACCCACTTTCTTGTTTAGATATAAACTGGAGGCTATTACGAGTCAAATTGTTTGTTTTTAGTGCGGTTGAATGCACATATGTGGTGACCTATGTGTCAGAAAAGCTCAGTCTCAGATTGGCTAACATGTATGTCAATCATTCATTCAACCTTTATTTAGACAGGTAAATCCCATTGAGCCTTGAGGACTCATTTACAAGAGAGACCTGATATCAAGTGACAAAGCAAGTGACAATTTGCATAGTGAAGATAGATTATCAGCTGACGTCAATTCAAAAATGAAATTAAAAGAAATTTAAAAAAAAAAAAGTATAACATCTATTTTGCTGTGCGATCTACTGATATTACCTTTGCGATCTACCGGTAGATTGCAATTGCCATATTGGGCACCCCTGGTCTAATGAATGCAGAAAGATATTTTTTTTTCTTTGTAATAAATGCTATTCAAAAAAAAAAAAAACTTTGCCTTGTGAAGTCCAGCATGAATTGTATGATTTCAACATCCATAAATGCTTGGACATGTCAAACTGTGAATGCTCTATATAATACAATCTTGAAAATACATTGTGTCATACTGTAAGATTTAGCTGACGTCAGTCTGTACAAGTTCTTGCTGCAGTAGTATCCTGGACAAAGACCCTAAAGAGATACTGTAAAAGTTCATCAATAAATGGAAATCAAGCACTGGTCTCGACACTTGTTATTAAATTTAGACTTTTAAAGATGAGGAGGAAAAGCAAGAGCTGAGGATGTGCTAGCATCAGTCACGCTGCAAAAGATTTCAAGAACATATCTGGAACTGCTTCATTCTTGTCTTAAGTTGTATTTATTCATGGGAGTGGGAGATTGCTGATTCACATTCAAAACCAATGATCTTCTTACATTATTTCACCACTCAAGATGTTATTTGCAATACTTGTAACCTGTACATCATTAATTAGATTTAGCATAAAACCATCTGAATTGAAATAACTGGTAAAAAGGTATGCAGTTACAATAATATACACACATCTATTAGAGGTAAATGTTTCAAATTTCCCATAACATAAAATTAAGTTAAGAGGAACACAAAAATATTTGCTTCATGTCTACTATCTCTAATATCATCACCCACCAGTGGACCTAAAATTCCAAATAACTGATTATCTAAAACATTTAGCACTCTTTTATTTTCACAATGTTTTGGGGGGTTTAGAGCCATTAAACAAATACCTACTCTTCAAAATTATTTGTTTTTCAAAAGCTTTTATTCTCCATTTTCTCGGCACAGACTGCCGGATCAGAGGGAGAGAAAAGGAATGGTTGAGGAGGGGGCTGGGTGTCAAGTGAAGAGGAGGATGAGCTGAGGAGTAAGGGGAGGTTAATAATGAGAATGTTCCAAAGAGCTTCTCTGACCGTGGAGGAGTGGGGCTTGGAGAGGCTTCAGGGGCTTTGGTCTCTTTACGATTGCCCTGATGTCAGAACTGTAAGAGTGCGGAAGTCAAAGCCCCAGGTTGCCGTCTACATCCCCTCGACTGCTGCTGTCATCTCTGAGCCGGACCCCCAGACACCCATCCACCCACCTGCCCTCTCTGTCAGAGCTCTCAGTGCTGGCCTTGCTCTGACCAGAGGGACAATTCCCTTTTTCTTTAACTGAATACATTTCCCGTTTTGTTAATCTCTCTCTTTATAGTCTTCCTTTCTCCCCCCCCAAAGCCAGCTACTGTCCCCTCAAGCGGCAAGACCCACTTTTGATTTCCCTATAAATCCTGGTTATGGAGCATGGAAGTGACTTGATCCCATTATTCTAGTAGTGTGAGAGTGACCAGAGGTGATTGTGAATGAAATTGTAACAGTCCTCAGATATGACAAGAGTAAAACTCCAGCTCTCTTCTCTCTTTAAATATTAATGATGAGTCATCAGTAAAGAAAATACTCTCCATCAAAAGAAAAAAAAAAAGAATCAAACACACATACAAACGTATCTACAGCAAAATGATTGTTCTTAGTAAATATGAGTTTTCTCTTGATAGTGTTTGATTGATGCTGTTTAAAATAATCTGCTGCAGGGCGTTGTTTCAAAGAAAACAATAAACGATTCAGGTTTTGCAGCTAAAAACTGCAGTGACATGACTGGTAGAAGTCAAAATGATGATTAAAGAATAACTGTAAACACCGAAAACATTATCAAAACCACTCACAAACTTCAGACCTGAATGAGTGATAGTGGCAGTATAGTCAGACAATGTTTAATCAAATATTCTATAAAATTATTATTTTTTTTCTATAAAAAATGTTAACATTTATCTCTGTTGTAAGATTGGCTTTAGTTTTTTTTGTGTCCTGTTTTTATTATAGTAAATGCTACTTCCTCACTGTAGCATCTTTGTCAGCATATTTGAATCATTTATATATATATATATATATATAATAAAATTTTAATAGAATAAAAATGTAAGGTTAATTCAGTGGGGCAGCACGGTGGCACAACTGGTAGAGCTGCTGCCTCTCAGCGAGCAGGTCCTTGGTTCAAACCCCGGTCCAGGGGCCTTTCTGGGTGGAGTTTGCATGTTCTCTCCGTGCATGCATGGGTTTTCTCCGGGTACTCCGGTTTCCTCCCACAGACCAAAAACATGCATGTTAGGCTGATTGGTAACTCTAAATTGTCCCTAGGTGTGAGTGAGAGAGTGAATGGTTGTTTGTCTCTATGTGTCCCTGTGATGGACTTGCGACCCGTCCAGGGTGTACCCCGCCCCTCACACAGTGATTGCGGGACATGGGCACCAGCGACCCCCGTGACCCAAAATGGAATAATCAGGCAAAGATAATGGATGGATGGATGGATTCCCAGTTTTGGGAAGCTTCTTCTGTTGGTCCCACACATAAACAGCTCTACTGGCAATATTTAGTTTTAATAAGAGATGTTAAAACAATCACCAGCACTGCTGGGAGAAACCATTCATGCAGCATCTAGCACTGTCCAAGTGTTCAGCATGAAAAAGAAATAAAGGAAAATAAGTTAATTTGCATTTAATTGTTGTGTGTACAATGTGAATAATAGATATATGATATTTCTGTATGTGGACATCATGACAGTTTGTGTTGAATCCAGACATTTTGGTTTCATCCATCCATCCATTATCTTTTTACCCGCTTCTTCCGTTTTGGGTCATGGGGGTCGCCAGTGCCCATGTCCAGCAATCACTGTGCAAGGGGCGGGGTACACCCTGGACGGGTCACAAGTCCATCACAGGGACACATAGAGACAAACGAGACAAACAATCATTCACTCTATCACTCACACCTAGGGACAAACCGGAGTACCTGAAGAAAAAACACGCATGCATGGAGAGAACATGCAAACTCCACCCAGAAAGGTCCCCGGACCGGGATTTGATCCTGGGACCTGCTCGATGAGAGGCAGCAGCTCTACTAGCTGTGCCACCGTGCTGCCCTCCATTTTGGTTTATTGATCTTAAATCATAAGGACGATTTACTGCTTAATGCTTTTCATTTACTATTCTTCTGTTTCCATCACATTTTTTGTCTCGCCTCTTGTCCTGAAACTTTGGACAAGCTCTTTCAAAAAATTCATCAAAACACACAGCTCAATCCAGAATATTGCACTGTGTGTTCTGATAGGTGTATATCATAAAAAAAATATATAAAAAACTACAAATCATTTCTTTGTACACAACAATGACATCTTTGTCAAATGAGTTATGAACCCAATTGTTTTTGAAGCTTTATTGTTCAGACAGTTGGTGTATTTTTGTAGTGGGTCTACTGCGGTAAAGTTAGTTTTACGTTGGACACCGTTGAAGCCATGGAGCGTGAATGTCCAACGTAAAAATAACTTTATTGCAGTCGTTCTATATACTGTGCTTAGAAACCAAAGTACACTGGTTAGTACACTTTAATTGTCAATTTATTTAGATTTTTAAGCATATTGAACATTACCAAATTTATCTGATGCTTATATTTGAATAAATGAACAACAAACTTTGTACAACAGTTGGCTTTATACTAAAAACATGCTACAGAATTTATAAAACAGTATCAAAGCAAAACATGTTCAAGCTTTAAGTAGTAAGTATGAATTATACAATATTTTGCTGGATAAGTGCACATAAAAAAAACCAAGCACTGCATATTGATAGATTGTTACGGAAGAGTTTAACTGCCGTTTAACATATCGATGACATGTGCCTAATGATATGTCATATATCATCGGTCACTTATAAGTGGGTATACTGAAATCCTTAAGCTTTTCTAGTGGGTATACTATGTATGCCCGGATATCACGTAGACTACATCACTGGTTCAGGCGTACTTCATAGTACAAACATCAATCAAAATTAAAACAGATCACAGGAAGTTGAACTTTTTTTTTTATGACTGAGTGCAAGAATCTTGAGTCTCAGGTCAAAACTCCATGACACCTGGTTGTAATATTATACACCGATTGTTTTCTAGTTGAATGGTCAGTTAAAAAATTGTTAAAAATGTTTCAGTTAACTTTTGTTAATTAAAACCCAAGCCATGTAGGGGATAAAATGAGTGTTGTTGATTGTCTTGCATTCTCTCTTTCAGCCCTTAGATTACGAGGATAAGAGAACCTACATATTGAAAGTTGAAGCAACCAACATTCGCACGGAGCCCGGCATCAACCCGCCCTTCAAGGATACAGCCACTGTGAAGATTGTAGTGGAAGACTCAGACGAGCCCCCTGTTTTCTCCAAACCCATGTATTTACTGGAAGTGAATGAGAACGCCCCCATCAACACGGTCATAGGAACGGTCACCGCCAGGGACCCAGACTCCTTTGGGAGCCTTGTCAGGTGAGGTGTAGTTAACAGTGAGCAACTGTCAGAGCTTTTAGCCTTTACGGCTCCACCATTTGCTACTGACTCACCACAGGAACGAGGCAAAAGTCACAAAATGATAAAGAAAAAAAAACTTTAATTTAACTTCTAGAAAATTGGAGAGAAGTCTTGCTAGTCTATAATGGCTTGTTTAATAAAAGGGTTGACACTGAATCATGCAATTAAATTTCTTCATGTCCCTGACCTTTGGAGAATGTGAAGGTGTCTTGGGCAGCAAGGAGGAAACCCAATAATTGCTCTTATTTCTACAGGTGAACAAAATAGAAGTAGATTACGAGATGAAGACACAACTTTATTTTTTTACATTGTGAAACCATCCTTGCTGTAGTGTAATATACTTCCCATGTGTGTGACTTATTCTTGGAAATACCACAAGGGCACCTTGAGGATAGGTTATACAGGCAATTTCTCTCCCTCCACTTTGGCATTTCATTAATTCTCCAGTGACTTGCTGACCGCATTCCCGGGACAACACTCAACAGGTTGTGTGTAATTGCCTGGTGAGCAGAGAGCAGGCAGGCTTGCAGGGATTGGATGATGCTATACAGCAGGGCTGGTTCATTCTACTTTTACCTTCTTTTTTTTATTTTTCTTTATTTTTTTGTGCATTGCTGGTGACATTCTCATGTATAGTGATGAGATTGCCAAGAGGAGGAATTGAGCCCTGAGGTTCCAGGATGCCTCTACTCTCATGTGTAATAACATATTTTGCCTTTTTTGTCCTTATTTCATTTCTTAGTGCGCTTATGTTTGTTGATGCTGGCCTGTGTTTTACATTACGAGGAGACTGAGGGATAAAATTAGCTTGGAATTAGTATTTTACTTTTTAGTGTTAGTTATGCAGTATCAAGAGTGTCAGAACACTTTAGGATGAAACTCATTCATTGATTTTTTTTAATGTTTTAATAGAATGCCAGAGTAATGATTTTGCAAGCATACTGTGTTGTCCTCAGTAGGATTCCTATTGAAAAGACAAGGGACTAAATAATAAATGAGTGTGGCTGCAGACGGCATCACCCTGCTGTCCTTTTCTCTTTGCACATTTGTTGTTATGAATCAGTTCATATATCAACATCCTGTCTTGGCATTTATTAGGTGTCAGGGATCTTTATGCACAAAGTTGCTTGTTTCTGTGTTTTGTCTCTTTTGTCCTTAAATTTACTTTGCACTTGTTTCCAGATCTGACGTTTTAGCATCAGTTATATGGTTTAAAAAATGTTTGCTCTGATTAGGTAAAAAAAAAAAAAAGGTTAATAGTTTTCCTTTCACTACCAAACAAGATTAACAAACCAAACCAAATATCTTATTATAAACCTAAAGAGAAGAAACACAATGTAGTCACTATATAACTGAAAGCCCTTTTTTATTAAGAAAAATAATTTTGTTTTAGACTTATTGCGCCATATTGTACTACAGACATTTGATTTTGAATACATCATTTTGCCATAGAAAACGGATCCACATGAATACAATTCTATTCAAAGTCCAAATATACATTTTTATCATTTTACTTACCCCCACCTTGCAAAACTTCAAGAGCTGCTGAGTGCTTTTAGCGTTGCTAGTGCGGAGGGGGATGGGGGTTGTGGTGGGAGGTATGAGATGAAATAAGTATTGTCATGTGGATAGCTTAAAATGATGCATGGCCCTAACTCTCCAAGACATTTTGATTGTACTTCCAGTCACGGTTTGTATTAGCCTGTAACTCTGAGCTCTGCGCTGATAAAATGATTACAGGCTGGGAGATTTTAATCCCACAAATATACTGGCTAAAAGGGAGCTATACCTTCACTGAGGCCTTTGAACAAATCACTAGTGTTTCTAAATAATGAACAACTTGGGAGGAAAAAGCCTTGTCAGATAACGATTCAAATCTTACATTTTGACTTTAGTGGATTTCTTTTTGTAAGAGACGCCAATAAAAAAAATAAAAAAAAAGTCTTGTTCCTTGTTCAATAAACATATTTTATTACCAGAGATATTACTGAACATCTTAAATTCAATTATTTCAGTATGTTTGCCCTTTATGAGTTAAATATACCAATAAATGAACAATTTCCTCCCCTGTTTCTATTCCTTTTCCTTTAAGAATTTATGTTTGTGCTTTGAAAATTGAAAATCAAACAGCTTTTTTCTGAATGAAAGCTGGAGTCTGTGCAGATGGATCTATTGCCGCAGATTGGCAGCAGTAAATGAAGAACTACCGTAAACATTCTCCAGCCACCATTTGCACAAGCTCCTGAGCTGACCCTTCTTATTAGAATCATTCACCATCTTAATCCCATCCCCCCCACCCCTCACCTCATCTCCTTTTACTGGATCAGACCAAGCCAGTCTGAGCCTAAACCACTTGGGGCGAGTGCTCTGGTATGCTGCCATGTCCCTGTGGCACTCGGGAGACAAACAACCTTGTTTTACTTAATGCATCCAACCAATAACCTTTCAGGTGCTCTCGAGAAATGGTCCCTCAGCGCCACTACTCTCTGTGCTCTTTCCCTTTCTACCCGACTGATAACAGAAAAAAAAATAAATAAAACAATGTGACATCTGGCAGTCACTCAGGTTGTTTTAGATGACCGACAAGGCTTCTTGAAATCGGTGCAAGTGCATATTTTATTTCTCAAAGGGATAGTTTGATCATAATAACTGTTGTTTTTTTTTTTTTTGTTTTTTTTTTAATGTACAAAAGCTTTAAATCTTCATGTTCTTTTTATTCCTTTTGTTTTGTGGAGAGTTTGAGGGACACATGTAACTTGTTTTTGTCAGCAGGCTTTGCTACAATGTAAGGCGGTGGCACAGCAGACAGCTGACACGCTGCATATGGTAATACGAGCAGTCAAGTACTTGAGCTACTTTTTTGAAACAAATGGAAATTTAATGTCAGTAAGACCAAGGCTATTTTTCCCCATTGAGATTTTGTTTTCCTGTGTCTCTATCATTTTGTTTTGTTTTTTCGCGTTTGACTATTTATAGTATAGATTGGTTGAGACCTTCCCGCTGGCTTGGGAGCCAACCTGAATAAAAAGTGGTGTACAAACACAAATGGTCAGCATTCAGGATACGGCTAAATTAGTCCTACATCTGTGATCCTCCCAGAGGAATTACTGACCTAATAACAAGCTGGAATGTCAGAGGCATTTTGTTCTCTGTGGACAAAAAATGTTCTCGATCTTTCTCCCCTCATTTACTACGACTCATACGGGCACTCAGCCACACATTCACATTCACACGTTATACAGCAGGTGCTTCAACTTTGCTTTAACAGTACTAATAAAGTACAGTAGTATGGACATTGCATAGTTCTTTAAGCATTTTATGATGCTGGTATGTCAAGCAATAAACATTTTTTTACAAAACTATTATTGTTCGATTGACATAAAACAAACAAACAAAAAAAAAATATATATATATATATATATGTATATATATTATGACACCACACAATAAAGCCACGCATTCAGCTCTGTCTTATTCTAACAGAAGTAAGACAATAAGTAAGCCTTGTTACAAAGATTTCACAACAATGGGAAAATCCTACACTTTACATAACAAACAAAGTAATGTTTAGGGGGCTGAGATGGTGTAGAGGCAAGGCAGCTGACTCGGGACCTGAAGGTCCCATGTTCATTCCCTAGTCATACATCTTGTGGTGTCTCTGAGCAGCACACCCTTTCCCCCCCATTGCTCCCCAGGTGCCATCAATAGCTGCCCACTGCACCACCTGGTGGTGAATGGGTTAAATGCAGAGAGCCAATTTTGCCATTGTGTGGGAACATACAATGATGGCAATATATTATTATTACAATTAACTTTAACAATATGCTTAACATCTACAACTATATAAAATAGCAAAAATGTTCTTCTTTCAGCTGCTCCCTTTGTCTGGGGTCGCTGCAGCGAACTTACTTACTCAAAAACTTGGCAGTTGTTTTTATTCCAGATGTAAATTGAAAATCCCAGATGGTTAAGTCAACAGAAACAGTCATGAAGTCAATGCCCTCCCTCACAGAGAGCACATTTAAAGTAGGAAACTAACTCTGTTAACTCTGGCTGGAGTTTGTACAACAAAAACTAACACAATAATTTAAAATAATGAAAATATTAGAAAAAAAAAACTTTCTGACATTACTACAGTTCATCAGTTCACACAAACTTTATCTCACAGAATGTGTGAGGAGCAGAGATCACCTCATGTGAACAAAGCAACAACAAATAAATAAAATTGAAGTCTCTATCTCTCTCTTTTTCTGCATGACTCTTATAAAACTAACTAAAAATATATATATTTGAATAGTATCATCAACTTTCAACATACTGTAAACAAAATATTACATTTTTTAAATTAAAATAAGACAAATCTACTAAACTTTAATGCCAGCTGCACTATTGCCAGTGACATTTTCTTTAAATCACTAAACTTTTCTAAAAATATACTATTTGGGTTGTATGTTCTTAATGTTATATTGCATGTTTACACAGGGGTGCAGTCAAAGATGCTATTTTATTGACAACAACTTCCGAATCGATCATAAGTTCAATATTTTAGTGACTTGCCTACTGAATGATTTATTCTTTTGTGTTTTCTTGTTTTCGCAGCATGATTGGTTGAACAGTGACAGATGTTTTGGATTGTCGGAATGAGAAGAGGTTTAATGTACTATCAGTGAAAAGCAGGGCGGGAAAGGAATGCTAAGATGTTGCAATGCACATGCAAGGAAGGTTTTCGCGGGTGAAAGACCCAATAGTTTTTTTTGTTTGTTTGTTTGTTTGTTTGTTTTTGGCAATAGCATGCCTATGTTTTTATCCAGAGAAAACCAGGGTGATGACAGTAAAATGAGCCTTCATATCCATTGTGGAAAATGAGACTTATTGCAACCCATAAAACTCCAACTGAGAAGATGTTCTGGCAAAGCAGGAAATAAGACACATTTCATGTGATAAAGTGCTTCTGCGACAAAGATGATTGGTGTACTAAATTTACTTCACGATAAAGTTGAAATGTGACATCATTTGAAGGAGATTTAAAAGATTTGGCACAAACAGCCTCAACGTTGACTTTAACTCCAGCGCTGGGGTCATCCTGATGCCTAGAGGCTCGAGGTAGACAAGACAGAGAAAAACAGTAGACGCCCTAAAAAAACTGAACACTTACCACGTTAGGTATAATTTTTTTATTTGCTTTTAATTCATTTCACGTTATGCTGTCAGTTTGAATGACAGGTGGCAGAACATTTCAGGGTCTGTCTCCTTGCTTCCATGTGAGGCTGTCAGAGTTTGACTGGGATCCACTCAGGCTGCTGCAGAGAGGCTGCTCCCAGGTGGTTTGCTGCTGTCTGCCTGTCTTAAAAGTGCTTTGCGTCTGCAGGGCAAAAGAGAGAGAGAAAAAAGAGTGGGGATGGGGCTTGGAAGATGGGGGTTGGAGGGGGTCCTTGTGGACCTTTCTCAGCCCGCCGTCTAGAGGATTTTACACCATTTCATCTCAAAAATGGAAATGTCACGGCTCGGTACATCTCCCCAACAATTGGAATCTGGGCCAGTGGTTTATTTATTTCATTCTCCACCATTCTTGTATAAGCTTCACCCTCCTTCGCACAAATAATTGTTGCGACTTTGTCTAGTGCTCTTTCTCTGTTTCTTTTATCTCCCGTTTGTCCCTTTTTCCCTATATTACTCTTCTCCTTTCTCACATAAATACTGCAGGGTCCCTGCCAACAGGTTTGCACCGAGAGGGCTAAGCAGTTTCAGTGGTATGTGACCCAGGATGAAGGAACAAAGGGAGACAGGGTGAACAAGATGCCCAGTGACAGAGGGACGTCTATGTGTGAGGGGAGAGGTGGATGGGGGGGACTGAATTAGGAAACGTGTATTGACAGAAAAAAGCATGTCCTCACTATTAGAGTGAGATGAGATTGCGATGGAAGACATGAAAGTGAGAACAGAGAACGTTTGTCCCGAAGGTAGGAGACACTTGTACAACACATGGTGTAATTACCTCATGTGAATTACTGCCGTCATGCGTATCTTAGGTTGAGTGGGCTGTTGATGACAGATGCGCAAATGAAACGTGTGAAACCAAAGATGACCCATAATGACAGATTATTTTTTAGGTCGTTTTGTGTGGGCTTGTCCCAGGAATCGGTGCTGTGCATGCAGCAACATGAAAGAACCATTTCACTGCTTCAAGCAACTTCAAAATATTATTTTTCTGTGCATTCCAGTCTCATACCATTGCCATCTTATTTGCAAAATAAAATAAAATATCTGTATGCCTTTTTTATAACTATCTATTGTTGTAGCTGTTTTCCATTGTTGTCATCACTCTTTGTTAAAAGCGGGTCTCTCTTGTAAATGAGTCCTCGAGGCTCAATGGGATTAACCTGTCTAAATAAAGGTTGATTTTTTTTTTTTTTTTCCGCTTTCTCCTTTTTTATTTCTGGAGAGTCACATGTGTGCCTACCTTACATTTTGATGAAAATCAGTGGAATACAGACAATGATGCAAAGAGGCCAAATTTAAAACAGTTTGGCAAATTAATTGCTATTGGGTTAAAAAAAAAAAAGGTTCCCCTATTTTTGTAATAATTCAAAAGTCCCTAAACAACACGAAATCTACTAAAAACAAAACAAGGACATTCTTGACACACAGGCCTTTGGTTAATCTTCATTACATCCATTATCCCCTCTCCCCCCACTCAGTTGTGTAGTGTGTGACACTTTGCTGTCCTAACTCATTAATACAAACCCTTCGGGAGCCATTGAGTGTTGAGAAATGCCAAACAGGGTTAACAACACTACATCTCTTACCCTGACATACAGTAACATGTACTAATGGCTTTTTATTTAGTCTGGGTGTGTTTATGCAGGGGTGTGGGTGATTTGGAGGGGTCTTCTGATTCTTTATTAGGCTCTTGTGTGAAGGTACTAATTGTTCCTCAAATGATAATTATCGATTTGTTACCATTTTAAAGTGCATTGATCCACAGGTTTTTTTTTTTTTTTCCTTGATGAATAGGGCTCCATTTGCCATGGCACCCGGAGGATTTCAGAAGATGCTGCTGCTAAAGTGATTTGGCTCAGATTTCTGATGTTTATTTGTCTTTGCAGATACTTTATCGACCGGCACACAGACCTGGAGAGGCAGTTCAACATCAATGTGAACGATGGGAAAATCACATTGGCCAAACCGCTGGACCGGGAAACCGACGTGTGGCACAACATAACAGTAACAGCTACAGAGCTCAGTAAGTATTCTCCCCATACTTTTTTCTTGCTCAATGCGCACAATGCGCCTCATCAATTGCAATGTCCTACAAGTCAGCAAACTGTTAGCCACTAATTGGCACACAAGTTTTAAAAGAGAGTAACTGCAGCAGGATACGCACGGTCTCCTTTTTTTTTTTTTTTTCCTTTGAGCAACTTCACAAGTCATCTCAGTCAAAGGAATTACTGACCTGCTACTCAAAATCCTCTGTTCAACAGTTTAAAGCAGCATATTTAAACGCTCAGAGAGCATAGCACAAACAATTAGCGAGTGAATCCACGGAGGCATTAAACACGTTAATTTGCTGAGTTTTGATTGAATTAAATGGCTCAGTGCTCAATTTGTGCAAGTGCAATAACATTAAGACATATCAAATAAACAGTTTTAAAGACATGCTCCAGAGTGGATTGCTCCAATGCCAGCATCCATTACAGATTAAAGAACATCTGCGAACCAAAAAACTCACTGACTACATAGAAAATCTTGCCGGCAGAGCTACAAACAGCTCCGACCATATGTAAGGCTTTATTTGCATACAGATTGTTTCAGGGGGGCTGTATGATGTGATAAAGCTTAATGTACCCCTTTAAGCTATTGGAAAAGAAATTTACACAGCTTGTAACTTTTCTGTCTACTTTTGCTGCTTCTCTACTTCGTTCTCTCCGTGTCTCATTCTCAGCCTGTCACGTTCTTTCTTTAATCAAAGGAAACACTTGTTAATTGTTGGAATAAATCAAAGCCCAAACGCTGTCACAATGTTTTGGCTACAGAGTAAAGACAAATCCCACCATCGATGCAACCTATTGGAGGAAGGGAATGTGTTTCATTTGATAAGCTGCTTGCCTTGTCATGTTGTATGCCCCTACATTCAAGGCATGTTTTCATGCCTCTTGGCAAAGTAACTGTGGCTCGAGATAGTGGCATATCTAACACCTAATAGGAATTTGCCAAAATAAATAGAGCAGTTTTGTTATTCTTCGCAGGGAGAGAGGGTAGAAGCAATGTTTTCTCTGGCGTGAAAAGAAATAGATGTGTTCCTGGTTCTATCCCACTGCCATTTGCCTCCCAAACGCAGGCTTGTTCTGCTGCCTTGCACCAGTTGACGTCTGACTAATCAGATTTTATTCCCTGTCTGCTGCAGGGAGAAAATCACTCGTGTGAAGGGAGGGGTTGTGTCTCCTCCTCTCTACGCTCTAATCCATCTATCACTGTCTATCTGACTGTCAATTTCCACTCACCTTACTGTTTACCTCTTTTTCAAATCACCTCTTAGATAGGCTGGAGGCCGTGAATTTTAAGAAGTATCCAGTCCACTGCTTTCTGTCTCAGTTTTATTGAATGACCACACATACCCTCCCCCCTCTATTTCCACTGTTCTTCAACTAAATTTGTATTTAGTCAAATCCTTGTTTCAAAATTTAAGGTTAGAGCACAAAAAGTTACCATGTGATGACAGAGAGACCATATAATTTAGTTTACAAATAATATGTGTAACAGCTATTTGGACCGAGAAGACAGATGGTTTGAGAGGGGGGTGAAGGAAGCAATTCATGTAAAACAAGGGAAACCATCTTTAAACAGATGAGGAGGTCTCAGATTTCAACGTTCAAAAACTTATAATGCAGATTTAGGACTGATACCCAGTCAGTTTTACACCTGTCAGGAATTTCATGTCATCAGAGTGGCCCCTCTGTGTGTCAGACTAACAAAGACCCTAACGAATCCTTATTGTGAGGAGTGATAGAGCGATCTGAATATGTATCTTACCTCAGTTTATAACTTGAACCCACACTCTCTGTTCTTTGAATTGAGAAAGCTCCTTGGATGAGAGTGAAATGTCTTCTGCTACAAATGAAGTCCAGTTGTTTTTGGCTTGAACATTTTTTTAAATTTACCATATCCTGGATGACTGAGAATCTTCACCAGCGTAACAGCCATATTTCCTTATATTTCCCAAGCATATTAGTGAAACAATCCATAAATAGAAAATTGTGACAAAGCATGTTGTTTTGTTTTAGACAGCATCAATCTGCCATAGGGTAATGTGAACTGATTGATAGTGTGAATGTAAGGATTACTCAATTTGTACTGATTGGCTGACACACGTCCACGGTGTGACTGTGTCATTAGAGCAACCTTGTGCCAATAAATCTAGATGTATCAGTAAAATGTTTTGGTGTGGAAAAAAAAAAAGGAAAAAAAAACATATTAAATGTTTAAAGAAAAGACTACAAGAAAGTGTGTTTCTACAGGCACTGACAAAACAAAAAAAGAAATGGTAGGAAAAAAACAAGGGCACAACTCATTGGACAAATGTTCCTATGGATGGATTTTTGTTCTTAAGCATATTGTTTCTTTATTATTATTATATAATTCCTCTTTCTGGGGGACGAGATGGGGTAGAGGTAGGACAGCTGACCTGGTACCCGAAAGTCCCAGGTTCAATCCCCAGCCATTCCCACATGTCATATTTCCCCTGAGCAAGGCACCCAATCCCTAATTGCTCCCCAGGCGCTTACATAGCTGCTCATTGCTCCACCTGGGTGTATCTCAGGTGCCATGGGGTGAATGCAGATAACTAATTTTGCCATTGTATGGAAACATACAATGATGACATCACATAGCACCTATATTATAGACACTTACTGCTCAAAAGGAGAACAGCTGTAGTGCAACAATTTTCTGCAGGATCAATACAGTTCTAACTTATCTTAGTTTACAGAAAAAAATGAAAATGTGTTTCTTGATCATGCACATCAACAATAATCCCGAAGAAGAAAAGGCTGATTTTTTTTTCTAATTATGAATTTCTAATTCATAAAATCAGACCCCCCCCCTTTTTTTTTATGTTTTATTTTGATTTTATGAATTAGAAATTCCCATTTGCTGCTGAGCTGTTAAAGGAGTGTAAATGCTATCTGCTGCTGGCAGTTTTAATATTGCAATAGAGTTCCTTCTTTTGTGTATTTTTTGTTAATTGTGAGTCAGGTTTATGAAAGTGTATTTTAAAACAAGACTTGCTCATGGGCAGATATTGTTTAGGAAGTAAAATATTAGTCACATTAACTGACATTTTCCAATTTCTTAGTTTTATTGTTGTGTATTGCATTGGATCATGTTGACTCAAAACTTATACTAAAAATGCACTGTATTGTGATTATTGTCTCAATTATTTTGTATTGCTTCAGGTTTTTATTTTTATTTATTTATTTATTTTGCTTCTGTTTACCTAATGAATCCAGTTATTGGTTGTTGTCAAAAAATGTTTTACATCAGCCACAGACCAGATATTCAGAATCTGGGAAACATATTTAAGAAAGAAAAAAAAAAAAAAATCCTCACTGTATATTTGTTAAAACTAAAACTGCAGCGTTTTGTGCTATGGACCAATACAACAATTGTACAATTATTTGCAGGACAGAAATGTCCTATTTAATAATTAGAACACAAATTTAGTTGTATATGTTTTCATTCATATTTTTGGCTCCATAGTCTAAAATTGAAGATAAAAAAAAAATGGCTCAAGCATTCAGTCCAAACTAAACAGCTGAAACTAAAATGTTAATTATTATATCAGTTTATTTTTCTTATTTGAGCATGTTGTACAGTCGTTTACACATATTAGATGAAAATTACGTTGAATTGAATGTAACTTTTTTATCATGAATCAGTTTTTGTTTATGCTGTTGAGGACGTCCCCCCCAAAAAAACAAACAAAAAAAAAAAACATGTCAGGCCAATATTCATGTTTTTCTAAAAACAAATAATGATTAAAACAAACAAAAAAAACATCAACAACAACAACAAAAAGTGTCACTGGCCATAGTGGAAAAACCCTCTTTGGCCTAAATGGGAAGTAGACTGCTTGAAAAGTTGGCAATTGCTCCACTGATTAATAAATACACCAGTTCACCAGGTCTCTTGAACAAAACTGTTAGTTAACAGTGATGAATATTTCCACTTTCAATTAAATTCAATTGTTTATTTATACAGCGCCAAATCACAACAAAGTTGAAACATCTGCACACATAGAAAAACCAATAAGTAAAGTTCTCTATCTAAGGAAGCCTGCAGATTGGTTAAATCTTCACTTTGTCACAGTCTCCCATCCTGAGCAAGCACAATGGCAACAGTGGAAAGGAAAAACTTCCTTTAAACAGGAATAAACCTCCAGTAGAACCAGGCTCAGGACAAGTAGCCATCTGCTTTGACCAGCTGGGTTTGGAAGGACAGGAAGTAGAGGCAAGCAAACATAGAATGGCAGGTCCAGATGTAGGTGCAGGTGTACCTGAAAGACAAACACACATGTCAAGGATAGAAAAAAAAAAAAAAAGTATTACAAATACAAAACAGGTTGAGCAGAGTAAGTGAATACAGTAGCATATTGAAATATTGTGATCAGTTTGTCCTCCAGCTGTCTAAGCCTATAGCAGCATAACTAAGGGACATCACAGGAAACCCAAGCCAACCCTAACTTAAAATTAGGGATGGGGCAGATCCGATCCAGTATCGGTATTGGCCACCGATACCAGCATAATTTACGTATCGGATTTTGCGATCCACCTGCCGATATTTCCGATTCATGATGCATGTTGGCTTCAAACTACGGAATGTATTTCCTGAACGGCGGCGTGTCTCATGAACCCAGAGTAATAAGACCCGCCTCACATTCAGGAAATCCAGTTCATAGTTTGCAGCCAGCTACAACGTGAGGACTGAGTTAGCAGCACTGTGACTAACAGATAACCAACTTTTCATCTAAACATGTCCGCTGTGTGGAAGTATTTTACACTAAACACCACAAAACAAGACAGCATTGTGCAATGTCTGCAGAGCCATAGCGCCACATTAAACCGCAGTAAAGTTAGTTTTACGATGGACATTCAAGCTCCGTGGCTTCAGCGGGGCACTACTCTTTGGTCAAACCGAAAGAGGCGACTCGACCCCGGCCAGCCGCGTCCAATCTGCCTGCTCAGTCTGCCCGTCTCTGAGGAGGGACAGACTGAGCTCGGCTGCCCCAAATCAGGCTGCCTGCTTCGGACTGAACAAGAAGAAGACGTCGCTGAAACCATGGAGCTCTAATGTTTACAGAGAAGTTGCTAAACTTCATCATAATTAATGATCAACCACTATCAATTGTAGAAAACAAAATATTTCACAGTTTGATACTTGCAGTCAAGATATAGTTTACCCTCCAGGAGATATTTATCAGTACAACAGTAAACAATCATAAAAAACATGATTTGAAAATTATATATATTGAAAACATAAACAGCTACATTATAAAGCGATGTAAAATACTAAAAACAGGAACATTTCTATTAGTTTATGCCATGAACTTAGCAGACATTTGAAGCCATTTAACATTTTATTTAATTTAATTCATTTATTCATTCATTTAAATGAAACACAATTTAAAAAAAAAAATCATCAAACAGAAAACATTGAATAAAAAGAGTGCAGAAAGAAGAAAAAATTCTTATATCTGCCCCTTATAAAATATAAAACAACTTTAACCAGTAACTTCAATTAATCACTTTAATATCCACTTTAAAGCTAGGAATAAAAAGAAACATGTTTTGTGTTAGCAGAAATTAATTCTAACTTTAAAACTTATCCAACATTAATAAAACTTACCTCAAGTTGCCTTTTTTGGACATGCATGCATATATTTGTACAAATTGTACTTGAGAGGAGATTATTACAGCTTCATATAAAATCAATGATGAGCATGATATCGGAACTGGATCGGTATCGACCGATACTCAGTTGTAGGTATCGGGATCGGATCGGAAATTTTAAAAAGTGGATCGGTGCATCCCTACTTAAAATCCCATCTAATTAAATAGCCTTTTATTTATTTATTTTTTTCATTTACTCTTTATTTATCCAGGTAGTCTCATTGAGCCACGAGAACTCATTTTCAAGAGAGACCTGTTTAGGGAGCAGATGGTGGGGGTTAAGGGCCTTGCTCAGGGGCCCAGAGTGGGGCGAATGAGGGTGGAGGGAGGTGTGGGTGTTTCACCTTTTCCACCCACATTTTGATGTTGACGGTGCCGGGAGGTGAACCTGCGACTTTCCGATCACAAGCCCATCTTCTAACCTCTGCGCCGCCACTCACTTATCTTTTTAGACTTGAGTTACCAATGGATTATTAACATGAGTGTATTAACTCTTATGTTTGAAACAATACATTGTGCATGATTTTCAAACTAATTTTAAATAATACATTTTTTGTTGTTATCTACAAAGCAAATATAATTATATTTATATTTGCTTTGTAGATACCCACTGCAATATAAATTAATGTGGCTTATCATTTGTCCTCCCATTAGTTGAGGAAATGAAGGAACAAAATAAAGATTGGGATAAAGGAGATTATATAGGTCAATTTGTGTGGGGTTTCATGTACAACCGTATTTCCCCTTAGTTTATGTTAATATCCGTGAGTATATGTATTTTGCTTTTGTTCATCTGGACCATCCTTTTTTTAATCTGTCCATCTTTTCCTATTTTTAGATTTAAAAAACCACAGCCAAATATCAAGAGCAATTGTGGCCATCAGAGTAATGGACATTAACGACAATGCCCCTGAATTTGCAGATGAATACCAAGCTGTTCTGTGTGAAAATGGAAAACCTGGACAGGTAAGGAGAGAAATGACTCATTCATCAATGCTGTGATCTATCACTTTCTTACTCTCTGTCCTTTTCTTTTTCTTGCTCTCCTCCCCTGTAATGATTGGCCACAATGAATTATAGCCTATTTATTTCCGCGTGAAACCACAGAGGTGGGAGCACAGACCTTTTTCTCTGAAACAGTCCTCCCTCGACGCAGTGAACACTGAGTGAAGAGGGGAAACGAGTGCAGTCAGGATTGATCAGAGAGGATCATAATTCACGACTGTCTTTCATGTCTTCCTCCAGATGGCACAATGCTTTCCCATGCCAAAAATCCTGGACAAGTACTTAGCATTCTCCTTCTCATCAATCGACCCAATTCAGGGGACCCGTATATGTACAAGATGGCAGTTTATTATGAAGGGGGGAAAAGTGTTTAAAAAAAAAAAAAAACAGGTGAATCTGTTCAGAAGAGCCTGAATTCTAATTTCTAATCAATCATAAAGATTTGCAGTATGATAGGACCTGTGATTGCAGATTAACAGATAGATCCAGGAGCCTGAAAGTGTGTCAGATTTTAGACAGGCCCTGATAATAACCAAAGCTCCAGGAATAGAACGAGTCATATATTTCATCAGGAATGATCCAGCCGCTCTTAAACTGAAGCAATCTCTGATAACAACAACAGTAATGAATACGCTGCCTCCTCTAATGGCTTTCAGCCCTGCTCTTCATATCTGCTTGTCTTTCTATTTTCCAATACAGGTGATTCAGACTGTCAGTGCTGTGGACAAAGACGACCCAATACAGGGCCACTACTTTGACTATCGGCTAGTCCCAGAGATGCTCAATAACCCCAATTTTACCATCAAAAACAACCAAGGTGAGAACTAAAATAAGTCTCCTAAAATGAGCCGATTTTGTGGGTTTGTGGCAGAGTGAGTGAAGTGTTTGGGAATGTATTCAATGCTTTTTCCAGCCTTGTCTTTAACTCATGGTGTATTAACCAAAACGGAAGCAAAATTGGCTGGATCAGTGTAGCTCACAATTAGCAGATGTGAAATTGTTTGGACACCAGCTTCTTCTTTACTCTCCAGTGCATTTTGAGGCAAACTAAATGAATGGGACCCAAATGGCATCCTGTGGTAGTCTTGCAGCTCAATGTAGGGTGACAGCAGTTTCACAGCAGATGGCACTACATTTATTTGCTAAATATTCTGATTGACTAATTTGCCGTTTTTGCTTGTCTTTATTTCTTTCCTTTTTTTTTTTTCCTGCATCCTTTTCACTACTGGGCTCTGAACAGGCTGTGCTCCAAATGATGTTGTGTAATGTTTCAGCTTGGAGGGGAAAAAAATCTTCCTTATGGTACTAGCCTTCTGTTTCATGGCTAAGGCTGCAGGCTAAATTACTGCAACCAGAAAATTCAGGTCATAAAGTGGACTTGCTGTGTTTTCACAAAAATAAATTACAATAACTAAATAAATGATACAATATAAAAATAAAAGAGATAGAGCGTTTCCCTTTGTAACAGGTACATTGGAAAGCAGAAACATGAGATGGTGTAAAATTAGCCTCAGCAAATATATCATTTTAGTTGAGAGCATGTCCAGCATTTCAACTGCATAAAACAAAACCCTTTTTTTTTTCTTATCAAACATGTTTTCAGAAACTCAAGAGCAAGGCGATGTTTATTAATGACACACATAATACAAATTAATTAGTCATAACGATGGATTGTGTTCATAACATTTAGGCATGAAGGCTAGGTCTTAACAATTTCTAAAGTTATATATATATATATATATATATATATTCCCTTACTAAATATTGTCCTAATACACAAACATCTCTGCTGCTTAGTTTTTTTAGTTTTGTCTTGCCTAAAGCCACAGTCTCAGCTTCATATATTGCAAAAGATAACACTACACCTGTCACTTGTCTATCATATTACTTCCTTACAGAGAAAAGGAGCTTGTTGTACCACATCCTCCAACACTTCACTGACTGTTTCTAGCTGAATCAGCAGCTGTGGGAGACACTTGATAAAAGAGTATCAGGGCCACTGTGAGCCTGTGGCTTTTGTTTGGAATGATGAGTCTAATTGTAAGGATTGCACAGTAAGGAGGTTAAAGGTTGGCAGCCATGAGGGAAGTGGCTAAGGTCCTAACCAGATCTATATACAAATACTGAGCCCTCTGGCAACCCAGGGTTCAGAAGGCAGGGTTACAACAGACCAGAGCTTTTGTTTATCAGTAACAAACAACACACTCTCAAAAATTCAGCAAGCACTGAAAAATATATTTTCAAACTATGTATTTAGTAAAACTCAAACTATACTAAAGGAATAAGCTCATTACATAGGGTGCAGTTCTGTATCTACACATGTACAGTTAGTGGATAAACTCAGCGTTTGTTAGGAATTGATTCAATGCTGATAATTAGAGGAAGTAATTTGGAAGATATGTCTATGTTGATTACACATATTTTTTTTTCATTCAACCTTTATTTATACAGGCTAATCCCATTGAGCCTAGGAAACTGTATTGTTTAATTGTTTAATTGCTGTTATTGTTTAATTGTTTGCCATTGGTTTGGGTATGCTAGTTTAGTTATAGTTTAGTTATGATGTTCACAACAACAGGACTTTAAAACTTCCAAAATGTAACTTAGTTTTAGATTTTAGGCTCTGGGCACCTACAGTAAGCCTTTTTCAGAAAATACTTCAAGCCTGGTCTGAGTGTGTATACATACAGTATGTATGTGTATATATATATATAT